GCAGGTGCCGGGCACATGGTGGAAATGCCGTCTGAGTCCCATTTGGATTTTTAAACCCCTTTACGCTTGGCTTCGCTTTCCAGGAACGCCCTGGTGTGTGGGCTCGCCCGGCACAAATCCCCACAGACGGTGGGGCAGGAGGCACACGCTCCATGGCATGCATGCGAGGAGCATGCCTGGGCTGCCCTGCCAGGGAAAAAAACAGTTTCGCTGTGGGTGCGATGCCACGGGAAGGGCTGTAAACCTGCTGCATCTTCCCTGCTTCATCCCACTCTGGTGTTGGCCGGAGGGAGAGAGGGTACTGCACCTGGCAAAGCATCTGGGGGGGCAAACCCAGAGGGTAGAGGCCGGGCGTGTCAGCATCGCAGCGGGTGGCAGATCCCTGCCAGCACTTGACTGCGAGCGCAGCGAGGGGTTTGCTGGATTAAAGATGCTCCGAGAGCACCTGTGACACACGGCATCCAAGGGGTTGCAAACGTTTCCCACAAGGCTAAAAGCAAAAGATAGGTGCGGGTTTCGCTTTCATAGATTTCTAGGTTGGAAAAGACCTTAGAGATCATCCAGGCCAACCGTCCCTAATCCCCCATTAAACCATATCCCTAAGTAGTTCATCCACCTTTTCTTATACAAGAAAGGATGTGGTAGGAAAACAAAAATAATCCAATTACATGTCCAGAATTGTGATGGGAATCCTGTACCCTTTCAACTGGGCATGACATTAAGAGCCTTTTCCTCCTGGCCGGGTGCGGTTGGAGACGAGGCTGGGAAGGGGTTATTATTTCCATCCACGAGGCAGATTAATTCTAAGGACTTTTAACTTCCCTTGCAAACGGCCTGAATTAATGTTTTAGGATTTTAGTCCCTGCCTCTTCCCGCCCCCCCCAAAGGCCAGACCCTGGAAGTCCCATTATGCTCCTGTCAAAGGGGCTATTTCTGGAATTGATGATATGAATGAAGCCTAAAACTCCGCTCTCATTAAAGTCTGCAGCTTATCCCAGTGTCACTCCTAAGCTGGTGGGACTCGGTGACACTGCAGAGGAAGCCTGTCATTTCAACCCAATTTTCACATCACATTTGCACAAAAATTTCCAAGGCCTCGCCAGCGCTTTCAACACATTTGTCAAAAACCAGCCGCCGTCCCGGCAAGCGAAGGCTTTGCCCGGCACAGGAGAAATGACCGCGGGTGGTGATAGGGGACCCGACTGCAGCTGTGGCCATGGCCCGTGGGTCCAGGCGACCTCTCCTTGCCCCAGAAAACTGGCAGCAGAGCAGAGCCCAGGTGTCACCTGGCTGGATCCAGGTGATTTGATGCATTTCTATGGTTGGGTTTATTGCAGGACACAGGCTTGCAGCTCCCCGAGCTGCCTTGGTCCCCATCTCCCTGGCTGTGCTTTCGGAGGATCTCAGCCCGTGTCCCGGTGATGGCAGCACATTGCTGCTTTGCTGGAGCTTCGGTGCTGCTTAGGGAGAGCTGGCGGAGGGGGTCAGGGAACGAGCTAGAGAGGAAGGAGAGGGATGCAGGGAAGGAGGAGAGGGGGAACAGCAGAAGCCACTGGGAGTAACAGAACACCAAGGGAAGAAATAAATGCCAATCCCACAGAAGAGTGTGTCCCTGTAAAGCATCACTGAACGCTGCCCTTGTGCCTGACTGGGCCGTTGGCAGGGATGCCCGTCCCCTCCTGGCAAAGAGACCACTGCCCCTGGGCACGGGCGATGCTGCAGCGCAGTGCCCCCCGCTCTCCCCATCTCCCAGCCAAAGTGCGCGCCAGGAGCGTGGGGTGTGTGCTCTGGCTCGGTGGAGAGAGCCCAGGCTGGGATGGACCGAGCGTTGTGCCCACCGTCCTCTTGGTTGCTGCAGCCCTCGAGCGATGGCATCCCATTTAATTCACTCGCTGGTGAATTTGATCCAAACTTCTGCAACCCAATCATAGCGAGCGTAATGCAATATCTTTCTCTTTTGATTACATTAAGCTGGGTAGTGCCGGCTAATTGAATCTGGGGCTCTGGCCTCTTAATTACGAAAGGTCAGGCTCTGCCGAGCGCAGGCAGGTAGCCCGGGAATCGCTCGCGGTGGGGAGGGGGCTGAGGGCTCTTGCTCTGTGCAAAGGCTCCTGTTTGTAATGAGTGAGTGAGTGACTTCTGGATATTTTCCCTTCCCCCCCCCCAGTGCTCTGTATCTTCTGATTTTGAAGTCAGGTTACAACAAAAGTGTTACTGGGTATTTCTGCGTTCGCCGCCTCTTCCTTACCATCGCTGCTGGCCGAGGAGCAGCGCGGTCGTTGGTGCTTCCCAAAGCCCCTTTGCCCCTTCGAGAGCGGCATTCCACAAAGCACCTTCTGCTTTCGCTAATTGAAGAGTTTCCCTTTGTCAGCCGCCCGGCTCAAAGGAGGGTCGGTACAAAGCCGTAGCCATCAGCACTTTGTGCGCCTCTGAAAATCCCATTAGCAGAAGAAAGAGCTTGAAGTTTCATTCAGCTGGAAAAAAAGAAAAAAGGAAAAAAAATAAAATACCCCCCCCAACCTTCTGATCTATCAGCTGTGCATTAACATACCGCCCTCAGCACCGCCAGCGTCCCTGTCCTGGGAATATTTAATCAGATTGAAGTGTTATATTGGACTGAAATGTATTTGCTTGAGGGAGCGATATGCTGATAAGTGGGTCTGTGGTTAAAGCTGGGGAGGAAAAATCCTGCCATCGGCAAAGAAAATCCCCTCCTGCTCCGTGAGGCCCCTCCCAGCCAGCCTGCGGGGTGTTGGTTCCGGCACGGGCAGTTGGGGTGGGAGGGCAGGGAGCAGCCCCGGCTGGGGGCACGGGCAGAGCCAGGGGGACAGGACGGGATGTGGGGTGTTGGCCATTGCCTCGCTGGGGGACAGCATGGGGGAGCTGTGCCATGCCGAGATGGGGAGTGCTGGGGCTCTGGGCAGGGGGTGTTTGGGTGGGTGGGGGCTGCTGCCTGCCTGCACCACGAGGACCCTTTGGTGGGTGCAGCTCTGGCCCTGCTCCCCTCATCTCCCTGCTGGCTGCACCCCGTGCATGGCAGGTCGTGGCATCTGCACTCTCCTGGCTACCTTCCACTTG